TTGCGAGTTTTCAGTTGGAGCGCGTTTTCAACTCTATAGCTAAAATTGAAAACGAATAAGGAATTGAGAGTCTTTATTGAAATAATTCTAAGGTAAGGTCTCAATAAAATTTTAGAGGCCTCATAGTTAAATAATTAATATTAGAGTGTAGAAATGATTACCAAGCTATCAAGGTCGATTAGGGTCTGTATGGGTCCAATCGTGATGAGTCTCCAATTCTAGGGTTAAATTTGCGAATAAACGAGGAACTAAGGGTTTCATTATAATAACTTAAAAGTCAGTGACTTAATAGGATTTACAAAAGTTAAGGGTCTCACAACTACTCTGAAGGAAATCTGGAACCTATCTCAAAGTGCCACGCTTTACCGATGACTAGCTGGAAGGAAAGAGGAACCTCTATATAGCCCAACAGTCCACACGCTTTACCGAGTGCTATTCCGAAAGGAAAGCGGAATGTCCATCAATGCGCCACGCTTTACGGGTCATAAGTCAGAAAGAAACAAACCTTCTTTCTAGAACTTCAATCCATCATCTTTTCATATACTTCATAACTTCAATTATAAAATTAAATGGACATCACATTACACATATAATCTATTTTACAACAAGTAACACCATTCTCCATTGATGGCCAAGAACAAAACCTCTACAAGATGAATGGAACAGTATTTCTTATAACAACACAATGTTTTTTTTTTTTTTTTGGAGGGGGGGGGATGGGTATAACAACACAATGTAATCATCAATACACTTCCACATTTCCATATCATCAATGTCTACAACATAAACAAAATTAACAAAAATTCACTCAACTCTCCCTTTTTCCATAACACAATATGAACCAATTCATAATAACAATTTGATTTTATTCTCCACCTATTTTACCTTTTTAGTTCACTTTAATCAATATAACCCAATAATTATTCAAAATAACAATTTATCTCAAATTCATTAGAGAACCAAAATTAGGGCTTTTTATATAAACCTCTTTAATATGTTCAATTTGTCCAAAATTTCTATTATCAATTATAAATCATAAACTTGAAAAGACTGAGTTCAAAACCTTAACTTATCCTACATGCCTTTCGAAAAATCTCACATCAAACTCATGTTTTCATGTAATAGAAAGTACCACACATCTATGTATAGAAAGATATTAAAAAGAAGCAAAGACATCCCTACATCAAACAAGAAGTTGAGAAGTCCTAGAAATCCAACTCCGACGAAAACACAATCCGCTCAAATTAAAAGGAAGCCCTCGCTATGCTCTACGTTTCAGTATAAGGAACTACGGTGAGATTCTCATTCTAAAGAGATAAAACCTAAGGTTTAATGGACTTAGAGCTCAAATATGACTGAAATGAGAGAGAGGAGAAAGAAAAGAGAAGAAAATTGAGCCAAAAGTGACTTTTAAATCAACAAATCCCAAACAGACCACTCAAGTGGTTACTTCTTTGCTAGAGCGAAAAACTCCTTTCCCTAAAATCTCATACCTGCACAGAGAGATGTTGGTTGCCTCACTTCACCGCTCGAGCGGTATATCCACCTCTCGAGCGGTCCCCCAAATTCCAAACTGCTGCAATTAAGCTTAGCTCTTCACGCCCTTGTATGCGTGTGTCGATACCCCTCTTCAAGGTGTCAACATTTGACAGTAACCCAACAACATTTAGCCACATTTGGTCCCACTTTTTAGGGATTTTTGAATTAATGTTTTATGTATTCTTAGGCCCAATAACCCATTTTATCCCTCCACTGTAAATAAACCATCTCTCTCTCTCTCTCTCTCTCTCTCACACACACACACACGCACACATTTTCCTCGCTTTTCTCACTCTTTTTCTCTCTCTCTATCACACACACTCTCTCTCTTTCTTACTTTCCACCATTTTTGAGTGCTTCAAACTTAGGTTTCATTTACTTAAAGGCGAAATCTACTCCTAGTTCTTGAGGGAAACAGTTAAAGCACATCAAGGGCTACGCTTGGAATCGATTGGATCATAATTTCTTTATCGTCAACTATTGGGTCTTCAACTCTTCTGTCTCCTTCTTGTAGTGGGAATACCTTTAACCTTATATGTCTATATTGTGATTTGAGTATGGGGTATTTTTCTTATATATAATGATGTATGAGATATATGGTTTTGATCAAAATGTGTTGATGTTTGAAAATGAGATTTTCAATCAAATTTTTAAAATAATTTGAAATTTTTTGTGTAAAAGTGGTCATTTGTTGATGATTCATTAATTGATAAGGGAAATGAGGAAAACCCCAAATTTTTTACAAAACCCTAGTTTGTGATTTTGAATGTGGGGGAGTGGTTTGAGAATAATTGATACTTGTGATGAAATTGAAGGGATGATATGTTGATATATAGTCTACAATCATGAAATGATATGAATCTTGTGAATTATGTCGTATTGATGGATGATTATGGAAGCTATTGAAAGCTATGAGATTGTGTACCTCTTTATCATGGATTATGATGTTTATTTCTTATCAAATTAAAAAAGGGACTTTAGGGAAATCATTATATTTGTGAACTCATGCATCGCATTGCATGTCATGATTTTGAATTCATATTGTTTTATTATCATGAATGTTGAAATATTGGAAAATTGGGTAAACGGCATAGTAATCTAGGTAGAGAGTCGGTTTTGGAAACGTGTTGAGTATTGTGTTGGTACCCATGCAAGGAGTCAAGGTTTCCAATTATCCTGTCTCAGACTTGATGCCGGTCGAATGTGAGGAAAGTGTTTTCTAGGTGCCCAATTGCCCTTCCGTACTTGATGATGGTAAATGTGAGAAAATGATTGTTTTAGGTGTCTAACTGCCTCTACGTATTGAGCCCATAAATGTGGGACAATTTTGAGATATGAAAGCTACATATATATATATATATATACATTTAACTCTTACTTTGGGATTCTAGTGCTCATTTACTATCTGCATTGGTATTGGTTTGTTATTGGAACAATAGCGCATTGGTGCATCGCTCTTTTGTCTTTTTTTTTTTTTTCTCAAACAATAAAGTCATTTTTTTTTTTGATTCAATAGAAAGTAGAACAAACCAACAGAACAGAGGTAGAACACAAACCAAAAGAGGGCTAAGAAAAAACAATGAAACTAAGCCCTTTCACATGAAGCCCCAACAATGTCTGCAATCAGCAGATTTGCAATTTCATTTGGGGGATTATCTAAGACTACCAAGTTCTCTACATGATTCACTCCCATTTAGCAAGACCATCAGCACACTTGTTCCCTTCCCGAAGAATGTGAGAGACGCCACAGTTACATCTCAGCATAAGAAACTTGATGTCTTCTAGCAAGGCTCTATGTGGATAATTGCTAGGGGTGGTGTTGTTGATGTGCAACACCATTTGCTCTGAATCTGTTTCAATTGTAATATCCTGCATGTTTTTTTTTCCAAAATAATGGTGAGGCCTCGGTAGATACCCCATAGCTCAGCTTCCTCACTTGTAGCTACCTCCAATTTCCCATGATAGCCAAGTATCCAGGTTCCTCTAGCATCTTTGAACAGCCCACCATATCCAGCAAGTCCAGGGTTGCCTTTGGAGCATCCATATATGTTAAGTTTGATTTTCCCTGCACAAGGAGGACACCAGTTAGTTTTATAGAGCAACATATCGCATGTAAAATGATCAATCTGGAAGGCATGGTAAATGTCGGCAGCTTGTTGATGAATCAGTCTCACAGTTTCTTGAGCATTGCACTCCTCATGTCTGAAAACGAAACTGTTTCTAGCCTTCCATAAACTCCACAAAGTGACTACAAAAATAGTACACCAAGGGACACTAGAGAACTCTTTACTCTTGCTCTTTATGTTGTTTTGGAGCCAAATATCCAAGGGCATGTTAGCATTGGATATTCTCCAGTTGCGATTACTCAGAATTTCCCAAACTTCCACAGCTTTCTGACACTCTCGCAGAAGATGATTCAAATCCTCACAGTAGAGTTGGCATCTGGGGCAGGTGTCAGTGTTGGTAATACCTCTGATCTTCCTTTGATGGTTAGTAAGTAATCTGTTAAGCATTAGCAGCCACGTAAACCCTTTCAATTTTTGAGGAAGTTTCAATTTCCATATCAAACTCCAGTTGACCAAGCCATAAGCCTGATCAGAATCTTGCTTGATAATGAGATTATAGGCAGCTCCAACTGAGAAATCACCACTAGAGGATCCAAGCCAGTGTGGGTTATCTATAATTTCAACAAATTGTGGAAGGTGTACCTGATGAATTTGATGAAGCACAGAAGGTGGTAAAATATTCTCTACCTCAGAAAGATGCCATCCTCCTTCCTCATTAAGCATATCAACAACCTTAACATTCTCATTGGTACGTGGTCCTGGAAAGAGAGAAGCTAAAGGCCCATCCCCATACCACCAATCTTTCCAAAAAGAAATAGACTTCCTATTTCCGACAGTCCATTTTGTACCTTTTGTCAGAATATCTCTAGTCTTCATAATGCTCCTCCAGGTATGTGAAGTATTCTTATTAGTAGGCCAGTTAGAAAAAGTGTGCTTGTGAAAGTATTTGCCTCTAAGAATCTTGGACCAGACAACTTCTTGGTCTAAAGTTAATTTCCAGCCCAATTTGGCTAACAAAGCAATGTTCTGATCTTCAGCCCTCCTAAGTCCCAAACCTCCTTCTTCTTTACTCTTGCAGACTTGCTGCCAATTAACCAAATGAGCCTTTTTCTTGCCTTCTTGATCACCCCATAAGAAATTTCTATTTAGCTTGTCAATTTGTTTGCAAATGCTTTGAGGGAGTTTGGTGGTTTGCATGATGTAGGAAGGTATGGAGGATGACACGGATTGAATCACTGTTGCTCTACCAGCTAAGGATAAGGCCTTAGCCTTCCATGAGGATAATTTTTTTTGGATTTTCTCGATAACTCCATTGTAGATATTTCTGCTAACTCGACTGTGGATGAGAGGAACTCCAAAATATTTGCCAAGGTCCTGGATAAGGCTTATCCCACACTATTGACTAAGCTCCTTAGCTAAATTCCTATTGACGTTTGGGGAAATGAACATCTTGGATTTCTTCAGGTTGATTCTCTGCCTTGATATGCAACAAAACTCACTCATAGTTTCCATGATTATATCACAATTTGATTGGTCAGCTTTCGCAAAAAGAAGGAGGTCGTCAGCAAAGAACAAATGTAAGACTGGAGGGCTATTATTAGAAGCTTTAAGCCCTTTCCACTTTCCTTTCTCAACCTGCACTTTGATCATGTTAGACAACCTTTCCATGCATAACACAAACAAATATGGTGAAAGCGGGTCTCCTTGCCTCAATCCTCTACCAGGACTGAAATTGTTCATAGTTTCCCCATTCCATAAAATGGAGAAACTGACAAAAGCAACACAAGACATTATAAGATCTATCCAATGTTGGTTAAGATTGAACTCTTCAAGAGTTGCTCTCAAAAAATCCCAAGATAATTTGTCATAAACCTTTTCAAGGTCGATTTTGATAACAAGACCACCATATTTCCCTTTCTTGTGCCTAAGAGTATGAATCAACTGTTGTGTAATGATGATATTGTCATGAGTGGCTCTATTAGGAATGAAGCTACTTTGATTGGGGCTAACAAGATCATTAAGGAGGGGGCGTATGCGGTTAACCAATAATTTAGACAAAATTTTGTACGAGACATTACACATGCTAATAGGATGAAACTGCGTAATATTCTCAGGGATATTAGTCTTGGGAATGAGGGCAATAAGGGTTTGGTTTACAACGGGAGGTATATGTTTCTCTTGAAAACAGTTTTTGATGAAACCACAAACATTGGTCGAAATCACATCCCAAAATTTTTGGTAAAATATGGCTTGAAACCCATCTCTTCCTGGGGCCTTGAACGAATTAATATTCTTGACGGCCTCCCAAATCTCTTCTTTGGTAATGTTTCTCAACAATAATTTATTCTCATCATGTGAAAATTTATGTGTAGCAATATTACACCAATGGTCAAGGACATCAACAGGTTCATTGTTAAGTAAAGAAATGAAATAATTTTGGATGTGATCTTTCACCAACAGTGGGTCATCAATCCATACACCTTGATCATTCTTCAAACAATCAATCCTCAATTTTTTCCTTCTAGAAATAGTAGATATGTGAAAAAAAATTTGTATTCCTCTCACCTTGAGTAATCCAATTAGCCCTAGATTTTTGAAACCACAAAACTTCTTCTTGAAAGAGAGTTTTGTTATATTGACTGATAAGATCTTTCTCTAACAAAAAGAGGTTATGAGAGGAGGAGAAATGTTGAGCTTTTTGGATTCCCTCAATTCGAGATAACAACCATCTTTTCCTTTTAAAAATATTTCCAAACACATCTTTGTTCCAAACAAGAGAGTTAGTAGCAAGAGAACTCAGGTTCTCTTGAAGAAAAGATTCATGATTCCAAGACAAATTGACAATATCTTTATAACTAGGATGTGATAACCAAGCTGCTTCAAAATGAAAAGGGCGATTTATAGGGGAGAGTTTAGTTATACCTTCAGTGTAGACCATAAGAGGTGAATGATCCGAGTATGTACGAGGAAGATTTTGGACTGCTCCTTCGAGAAAGATGATCCTCCATTCCGCATTACACAGAGCTCGATCCAACCTTTCCATAGTATTAGCCAATCCCTGCCTGTTGTTTGACCAAGTAAATTTCGGCCCCGTGCAACCTAGGTTCATAAGCCCACAATGGTTAATGTTATCGAGAAACTTTCTGCAACGGTTATGTTGATTATTCTGTGTGAAACTTCTCATTTCATTCTGCCCCATGACATTATTAAAATCTCCCGCCACAAGCCAAGGGTTAAACATGGAGTTTGAAAAGTCTTCAAGGTCATTCCAGAGATTTTGACGCCTACCAGGATTTGGACTAGCATAGACTACAGCTAGCACCCACTCTTCATAGTTCTCTCTTTTCACAGTAGCCTGAATAACTTGAGAGTTGGCAATATGGGCACTGACTGAGACTTGTGTAGGGTCCCAAATCAACCATATACCTCCTACTTGTCCAACAGGATTCAAGGTCATTCCAGAGATTTTGACGCCTAACAGGATTTAGACTAGCATAGACTACAGCTAGCACCCACTCTTCATAGTTCTCTCTTTTCACAGTAGCCTGAATAACTTGAGAGTTGGCAATATGGGCACTGACTGAGACTTGTGTAGGGTCACAAATCAACCATATACCTCCTACTTGTCTAACAGGATCAACAAAGGTAGAGGCAGTAAACCCCAAGTGGTTAAAGAAGAGACCCATTGAGCTGAAAGGGACTTTGGTTTCAAAAAGAGCAACCACATTTGGCCGATGAACTCTAACGAGTTCTCTAAAGTTTTTCCTAAAAATTTTGTTGCCGGTTCCCCGACAGTTCCATAGCATAACAGTCATGGATGATCGGTTAGGAAGGTGGGGCAACGGATCTGTGTTAGCCAGACCAATGAAGTTACGCACTATCTTCTTGGATAACTCTAATGGCCTTAGGGCTGCCATCTGAGTTACCTGCAAGGGTCGTCCTCCCACGCTCACCCACCTGGGCTTTATAGTCAGTTTTATCTCTTCTATCCACCATTCGATGCCTACTTGGTGAATGGCTTCGCTCTCTGGTTCGAGGTAACAGAGCTGTGTTTCATCTTGGTGAGTTGCACTTCTGGTATCTTCGAGTCGTCGTTGGAGCTGGTGTTACTGGGGGTACTCATGATTTGTATCAGGCGATTTTTGTTTTAGATCAAAACTACCAATGGGGTTTTGGGGAGCTACAGAAGTAGATGGGGAAGGAGTAAGACAAGAAATCTGGGCTGGGGTGGGATTAAAAGGTGATGAAGGGAGGTTGGGTGAACTGTCCTCTGTATTCATCAATTCTAAGTCGTTGTTAGTAGCTTGCCCCAGGCTAGGATTGTAGCTTGAAGCAGGAATCTCTGGTAAAGTTTGTCCTTCAACAGCTAGGTCCTTATCTTTGTTGAGTTGTCTTTCATCCTTTTGGCCTTTTGAGAAGATTTCTTGAGCTATATTTGGATTGCCTGACTCACTAGTAGAGGCCGTTCTGTGTGTGTTTACCATGCTTGGGCCAGTGTGGCCTTTATGCTTAGCTCTTTCGGGGCTCCTTCCATGTTCCCATTCTCAGCTAAAGGGCCAAACCGATTAGCAGATCTTTTGTGATTGTAGTTGTTGGGCCCAGCGTGCCTTGCAATGGGGTTGGGCCTATTATTTTTCCTATTCACCAACATCCAAGGCCCAAATTCTTCTCTCTGCCCTTTGTCGGGAATAAAGTGTTTGCCTGATGAACTAGCCATTTGAGCTTGATCTAGACCAACATCATAACCGTTAGCTATGGCTACTGTGGTAGCCGGTGTCAGCTCCGGCACCGGTTTGTTACTGTTGTAATACTCTTTCTGATGCCCAACTTTCCCACACTGGAAACAGAAATAGTGTAAATGCTCATATTCCACTATGTAAGTATATTTACCTATAGCAAAACACGAAATTAATGGCTTTGTTAGATCAACCTCCACACAGACGCGTGCATACCTTCCTCGAGCGGACATGGCAGTATTAAGATCTACCTTGAGGGGTTTCCCAATCGCCTTTGCTATATGGAAAAGGACCTTCTCATTATAGTACTCAATTGGAAGCTAGGGAAACCTGACCCATAGTGCCGTGGCCACTTCTCCAGCCTCCGATGGCTTAAAATCATGTTCCCAACGCCTTACTGTGAGATAATGATCCATTTATGATCCAAGGGCCCTCTGTATATACTCTGCTACAATCGACCATCATTTCGAATTTGATCAAGAAAAACCCCAAACCCAGATCAGTTGCTTCAAAGTCTCCTTGGAGTCCCCACATCTTTCTCAATTTGGATACAAGAAGTTTATACCCTAGAGTTTTCCCAAGCAATCTGAGGATTAGGCAGTCTTTCCATGGCCTACGAATGTGTTTAATAAGACGTGAAGGAAGCTTGATTATGGGGAGGCGAAACCCTAGATCAACAAACTGATTGTGATCCGCTTCCTCCATTGCCTCATTATCTTCCTCATCTGTAAGAAAATCATCATCTGAGAGTCTCTCAAGGTCTTTGTCAAAAGCTTTCTCATTGATTTTTGTTGCTATAAGGGCTTGTTTGAAAGATCTCTTTGGTTGTTCCTCTGTTGGAGCTTGAATAGAGTCGTTCATGTCCTGGTCTTCAATAGGTGCTGATATGCTTTTGATCTTTTTGGTGCTTCACACCAGATGATCTTCTTCCTCCAGTGATCTACCATTTGGGCCTTCATCTAGTGTCGTAAGATGATCTTCTTGCGGTGCCAGCTTGCTTTGTTTGCTTTACTCAAAGTCAAAAGGTAGGGAGAGAAAAAATCAAACTTCACTAGGTTCTTTTGTCAAGAAACAAAGAGAAGGATTTTGAGGCATGACATTGCATTGACATAATCATACTTATATCAAATATGTATATATTTTGTTAAATATATTTCTACTAGTAATCTTGTTCATTTCTATCATAATTAACATTTTCAGGTTAAGGTAATGGAGTTTTACCTGTTGACTAAGTGATGGAGATATTTTTAGTGGAGTATAGACGCTCTATATGTGAAGAAAGACGAGCATTTTCAGATCTTCACATTGATATATTCTATTATTGTTTTTATTATACATCAAATTTTATTTTGAAATAGATATAAGACTCAAAGGATTGATAATTATAATTGATTAAAATATTGAGGTGTCACAAAGGTACAAGTTAAAGACAAAAAAAATTAAAGAATACAAGACACTTTTTATTAAATTTAATTCATTTTTATTAAAATTGATACAGTTTTTAACATTTTCATATATTTTCAAAATACTTTTTACACACTTCTCTACATTAAATAATGTCTAGGAACACTTGTAAGCATTTGCTAAATAAAACTTATATAACCTTAGCAAAATATAAACAAAAGAAGTTCAATTCTATTTTTTTTAACTCTGAATCAAAGTAGAACTTGACGTTGTTCAGATTCTCCAAATTTGTTTAAGATTGAGTCAAAGCTAAATTTAATTGTAATTTTTTTCAATATATAAATTCAGCTAATTGATTTTAATGTACAAAATCGCATAGTCAATACAATTAAATATTGAAATCAACATGTTTTTTAACATTTTTACATATTTGCAAGACACTTTTTACAAATTTTCTAATATTAAACAATACATATAGAGCACTTGTTAGCATTTGCCAAATAAAAGTTATTTAGCAAAATATAAACAAAGGAAGTTCAATTCTATTTTTTAACTCTTAATCAAAGTAAAACTTGTCGTTCTTCAAATTCTTGAAATTTATTTAAGATTAAGTCAGAGCTAAATTTAATTGTAATTCTTCTTTCAATATATAAATTCAGCTAATTTTTTAGGCAAATGATTTTAATGTACAAGAGGGCATAATCAATACTCCTTCCACCCCCAAAATGATAGTTCCTTTTGAAAAATTTAACTTTTTTTTATAGTACAATTATTGTACTTTAAAAAAATTAATTTTTTAAAATTGTCCTTTGATAGTATATTTTTTAGGAATATCAATTGTCATAATTATATTTTTTATGTTATTAATGAGAAGGGAAAAATAGAAAATTTATATTATTTTTATCTTTAATTTTTTAAAATAGACTAATATTTAAGATAATAAAAAATAAAATAAAAGATTAATATTTTAAATGGAGGAAGTACAATCAAATTGCATTACAATTCTCTTTCTCTATCGCAAAATGAACCGTGATAAGTAAAGCATGCTCTATCATCTCTCGATTTTGTCTTCAGTTGATGAAACAAAATATATTTTTAAAGAGGCACTTATACACAAGTTTTATTTGCGAATTTATATTTTATTAATTTTTAAATCAAAATTTTTTATTCCTTCAAGTTTCATTAATTTTTAGTTGACGAAATTATGTTTCGAACAATTGTTGTTCATCATTTGTAAATGTTTATAAAAAAGTATGGCAATACGACATTTATTTTGATTTTTAAAATTTCAAATCATCATAATTTTTATAATATTTATTTATTTTTGATAAAATTTATATTTCTAGAATCAACACAACGAAATCTATCAAATAAGATTAATCTTCAATACAAAATTATATAAAAAGAAAAATATGTTTTTTTATTATAAATTTACAATTTAAACCATTTTTAATAATAAGTTGTCGTAACTTATTTAACTAATAATATTTTTTGGTCTAATTTTTTCAATTTTTTCTAAGCTTAAAGCTGAGAATATTCTCAATTTAAAATTGAAAAAAATTGACTTAGTTTTAAAATTAAAAAAAAAAACTGAAAAAATTCTTAATTTTACTAGATAGTTTCGCAATTGGTTGTGTTTTTTCAAAACACTTTTCAGAAAATTTTACTTTCTTGTTTTTCGTGTTTTTTTATTTTTACTAAATTTTTTTAATATTTTAAGTAATTTTTTTTACTTTTTAGACATACCTAACATAAATATACCAAAAAAGTAAAAATTTTGTGAAAAAAACCTTTTAAAAATTCACTAAATACCAAAAAATACAAAAAAAATATAAAAATTTAGTACATTTTTTGTGTTTTTATGTATTTATTAAATTTTTTAAATATTTTTTCACAAATTTTTTACTTTTTAAATACATCTAAGTAAGGTGCATCTAAAAAAGTAAAAAAAAAAAATTGTTTAAAATTTTAAAAATATTCATTAAAAACAAAAAAATATGAAAACCAACAAACTGAGTTTTTAAAAAACTTAATTCAAAAAACTCAAACCAAACACACTGATTAGTTTTGCATAGATAAAAAAATCATATTTTATTTTTAAAAAAAATTATATTCAATATTGGTCTTAATTGATAGATTTCATTGTGTAGACTCCAAAAATATAAATTTTTTTAAAACTAAATTTATATGATAAAAGTTTTGAAGTTTTGGGGGGGAAAAAAAAAACATAAAATGCCACATAAGTAATATCACTTCAATAAGAGAAAATATCTAGTATTTTTGACATATAGTTAGGTGATTATTAAAAGATTTGTGATTGGTGGAGAAAATAAGACCTATAATTTTGTATCGAGGCATAAAACATAATACTTAATGATTGATGGATAACATTATCAAAAATGATTGAGGCCTCAAATTTTTTGGCTCAAATTTGCCTCGAATTTGCTTTTTTTTTTTTGTTTTTTTTTGCTGGGTTGATGCCTTTGCCATTATTATTATTAGAGTTATTGTTTGCTTTATTTTTTATTCTGCATATGATTTAGCCCCAGAAAAAACAAACAAAAAAAAAAAAAAAAAATTGCATTTCGAGGCAATTTCGCGCCTCAGTCTCGAGGCCTCAATCACGGCTCTAACATTATTATGTAATGCACTTATAACATCTAATAATTTTTTCTCAAACAAAACAATTCCATATATATAAATATTTTGAAAATAAAACTATACAGGTTAAAAACACGTAGGATTTAATAGAACATGAACCATACAAATAAAACTTT